ATTTTAAAATGCGTATATTTATTAGATAATAAATAAAAAACCTAACATGTTAACATTAAGTATAATATTTCTTAACAAAAAGCCTCAAATCAGAGGCGAAACGTCGGTGCTAGTTGTTTTATAATAAATCCATTTTTGACGTTCTGGTGAGTTTTTGTAACAAGGAGTTTTGTTATTTAGTTTTTATTAGATAACAATATATTAATGTTTCTTGTCAAATGTAGAAATTCTTTCTTGTATTAAGTAGTACTTCAAATCAATTAATTCTTTTAACTGTAAGGGGCTGCTCATAAACTATACGGTTCTATTTCAGTCACCTTTTTATTTTTATTGGTTCAATCCTTGGACTCCCACCTAGAACAAATTGTCTTTTTTTGAGATTCTTTTTAATTTTTTTTTATTTAAACTATCTGAAACTGTCTTGTTATTGATCTTAGTCTTGGTTTTGGTCTTGCTGGTATAGTCTCGGTCTCAGTCATAATCTGATCCTTAGGTGTTTTTTTAATAATTCTTCCAAGCACAAATTTTTCTATTTATCGACTATAATTCCTAGTCTAATTGTCATAAACGCTAAAATTTTCTAGCATGACTTTTAAAGAAAATAGTGTCGATTCCATTGGAAATAATTGTATATTCGATCTTGGTCGCAGTCTGCTAGTATAAAGACAATCCTGGTCTTAGCCGCTTTGCATTTTGACAGGACTTAGACAAATTCCCTCTCGTACATGGAACAGAGCAGCCTTTAAACAACCCACACCCCCCTTATGACAGTAATAAGGTTTATGAACAGCCCTTAATTAAAAACAATATTGTCAAACGTTTTTAATTGAAAAACGTGTTGGTTATTGTTTCAGAATAATATTAAAAAATCTGCCTATCCTGATAGTTTTATTCAACTGTCTCACCAATATTTTACTTCTCCTAACATGCACGTTTGTTCGGAGTGGTGACACGTTTGATTTTAAAATGGAGACTGGGTGGTTTTTAGCTAGCGCAGGAAGATGTAAGCAAACAAAATACAGATAATATTTTTATATATTTAAATTTAAAATGAATTAGTGCTTTTTCTTTTAAAAACAATATACTTTTTAATACTGCATCTTCGATATTTTTTTATACCTTTCTCGCTTTCGGGTAATTTATGGTAAATATGATTACCGATAGAGTTAAATTTAATTTTATCTAAGCATCACTTAAATGGGCTGCATACACCTTGCGGCAAAAGAAAGCAGGATGAAATTTGAAAAAAATACAATGTGTAATTATACAACACGCTACTGAAGTGAAACTTCTTCAAATACACAAACATACCGGGATAGGGGTTAAGGAATTGGTTTAATGGTATTATTCGTACACTATGAATTTAAATTTTACACTATACATGTCGAAGTTGCCTGCTTGAAGCGCGCTCACGGCTCAAGCGATCCCCACCACGAACTCGACTACGTGGCCGAGTAGAGAGGGGACATCCGTTGCATGATTTCGTTACATAGCAACTCGCATGAAACGAACTTACCCTACCGTGCGTAAAGAAGTTTTACTTCAAAAAGATTTTAATTGGTAATCATATTTGCATAGTATCAATAATTATTGTAGACATCACACAACAATTTTTCACGGCACAGTGGCTTGATCAGATGACGATTAATCATCAATAAAATGATGTAAATATGATGATTAATCATTACCTGATGAAGCCACTTTATCTTGAAACAGTTGTTGCGTGCCTACAATAGATTTCCTTGAAACTTTGTTACATTATGGTTACATATGTACAGTACTATACGTATACTTCGTTTACTTTTTCTAGCGATGTGCCCCTTCCAATGTCTTGGATGTGCGCTGGTAAAATCGTAGGTTTGGAGAAAAAAGCTCATTATATTTTCGGCTCGGATTCATTAAACATACTTTTTTCATACAGTATCTGTCAAAAGTTTTATTCAATCATAAATAACAGTCTAAGTCGGAAAGAAGCGTTAAGCCTTTAATATGTCTTCAAATATAAATAAACATCTCGTTGATATTTTCAGTAGTAAATGGTACCAATAACTGCACATTTGAGCAATGCAATTTTAGTGGATAAAATGGTCAATTTTTCCGTACAGTACTGTACGGATTATACGCTCCTCGCCGGTTAAGAGTTTGGTCGAGGATTGTCTCCTTTCTTTTCTGGCCTAGTGCTGTCCTTTTCTACTTTGCGCCGGTCAAACTAAAGGTCACATCGCTAGAGAAACTAAACGAAGTATAACTACTTTCAAAGCTATATTGAGTAAATTTTAAAATAACAAAAAAATGTGGCATTTATACACCATCTTGTGTTTTTCATTCGGTGATAAAAGCTATGTATTCGTATTTACCAAATTACTTTTTCTAAAGAACTCTAGCTTTTTCATATTCAAACTATTGTTCTAGTTGCTACCAACATTCACAGTACAATGCACCTGTACTTTACTGGTTGTTACTGGATAATGCAAATGGCAACAACGGTTTCATTTGCCGATATTTTTGGTGTGCATTACGAAGAAGTAATTTTCATACTTATCGTCATACTTATAGGTAATAATACAAACGCAACTTATATAAAATGATCGCTATTTTGCAAAAGAAATCTAATCAAATGATACTAATCATAAATTATCTGTTAATAAATTGACTATCTAGGGCCAAAAACGGTCTTATAAATGTTTGTTCATTTATAATCTTGTCCAAGTGTGAAAACAAAATGAAGACTCACATTGCAGGCTTTGTATAAGATTGATTTAGATGAGAGAGTATTAAAAAACCAAATTGATATCAACGATGATATTGTTTTTTCTAAATTCCTTAAAGGACAAGAAACAGTTGTTTATTTTTCATATTGATTGATGTGATATTGAAAAAACTGAAATTATTTATTATAACCGATTTTCACCTATTAATTGTTCTCCTTCCTTACAAGTTATTTTATTAATTCCATGTTTTCTCCTCCAAGTCAATGTTTGCTATTAATATGAAATAAATCGAAATAATTTTTGATTTCATTGCTATCACAATCACACGAGGCCCTCAAAGTCATGGGATTGTTTTTGTGAAATCCCCTTGTATTAAAATAAAAGTTTATTTAGATATTCAACCTTTAACTTTTCAGGTTATTTTTGCATGAACTACCTTTTGGTTACTATAATGAGTGGGAAAGGAAATGTCAATTTGTATTTGACTGTTTTCCGAGAAAATTTAATACATTTGATACAGTTTATGAGGAAGCACAAAATATCTCACGAGTTACAGGCGTAAGTTTCAAGTGCTGGTCACTTTTATAATGCATTTTATTTTCGAAAATTGTCGTGCCAACCTTTTCCGCGTTCACCGGTATCGATCGCCTGCGGCATTCGTTTATAACTGTTACCAAAGTATTACTATTTATCGTAATCGTTCATGACTGGACAGGTATTAAATGGACAAGATTAAGGTTCTGGGTACTGTTTCCATGTCCCTTCTCTCTTACAAACGTTTCACTATTTTTAGCATCAATCAACTGACGATTGCAGTGTTTCCTAGTTTGTTTGAAAATGTAGTTCAACATCCAAAATGGTTTGGTTCATAACAGGAACTAGATGTTAAACTTGATGATAAAATGCCCGTTTTCTTAGGGTTCTTCTATCTCAAAAAAAGAAAATAGATCTTATAAGATCACTCTTACACAATAATGAACATTTTTTCTTTTTTTTTACCAGTTGAAGTTGGTCTTACTGAAAATCGAATGGCGTAGAAATCAAAACTAAAACGGTTTATTACGAAACCCGAAGGAACCCGTTGTACAACAATGTCTGATACTATCTTAGGGGGTATGTGTGGTAATTCTTGCATTTTTACTTATTACGAATTCCATAAAAAAACTTCCCTGCCAGGTTTCCGGCAGGTAGAGTTAATGCCAACTGAAGAGTTTTTGTAATGTAGTTTCTCATAGACAGTTTACGGTAAACAGTTATGTAGGCTTTGTTTTAGTTTGTCTAGGGTTGTTAATAAAAACGAATCTAAATCTACTATTTTAAAATGCGTTTAATTAATATAATATTAATTATAGGAAGTACAATGCTGTGTCATCATCATCATAATGTCGTCAATCCTAAGGCTGGTTGGACACGTACCTCCACCCTTTCCTATACTGAGCTAATCTTCGCATTTCCCTAAAATTAGAACATGCCTGAGAAGATGTCCCACCAACCTATCTCGCCTATTTCTTATTGACTTCCATAAAGTCCTCTGTTCTCCTAATCTTTCTAATACTTCTTTATTTCTAGCCTTCTCTATCCACGGTATCCTCAACATTCGCCTGTAACACCACATTGCCAACGCTTCTAACTTGTTTTCCGCCGTGCCCACTGTCCATGTTTCGCACCCGTATAGCGCCTCACTCTAAACATACACCTTTAACAATCAAGATTTCCTTGA